TGAGGAGGCCCGTGGGGAAACTCTGAGGAGGCCCGTGGGGAAACTCTGAGGAGGCCCGTCCCCGCGCAGGTACGTGACGGAGATTGTCACTTATTACTACGCAAACGACGCCGCAGTGGAGGGCGACCCGGAGCTGCAGTGCTGGGTGCGGGAGATATTCAAGGAGTGCCTCCTGGGGCGCGAGAGCTCAGGTAGGCGCGCGCCCGGCGGGGCCTGGGGCTCGAGCCACCGTCCCAGGATCCTCACAGGGCCTTGCCGCGGCCGTGGAGCAGCAGCTGGGGGCGGGGTGGTGAAGCGTGGTGTCTAGTGAGCTCAGGTGCTCGCTCGTTTGTCTCTTCGGAGGCCTGGAGAGCCCCAGGCCTTCTTCCTAGAAGCACGGTTTTGGAGACCGGAAGTGAAGGGGTCGTGGCGTTTTCAGTGAGAACGGAGCTCGGAGGGGTGCAGGTGCAGGCGCCAGGAGAGGAGGGAAAGCATCAGGAGGTCCTCACGCCTAGGGGCGCCCTCGGCAAATGCTTGGCGAGCCGATCTCCTGGGTGTGGGTGTGTGCGCGCAGCTGCTGGCTGCTCAGGGCGCCGAGGAGAAGCGTGAGTGTGCGTGAGTGTGCGTGAGTGTGTGCACACGCGCGCGTGCTGGTGAAGAGGCATTTCCATGAGGACAGAACCAGAGCAGTTTAGGGGAGCCTGAGGCAGGACTGAGGGATCTGGAAGAGCCCAAGGAGGCAGTTCACCCAGCTTGGAGTGGCGGATGCATGGTGGGAGTGGGGGTGAGGCCAGTGCGGGTCCTTTCCCAACGGGGGGCACATGGAGCCGGGGCTGCCGAGTGTAGCTGCCTGTGGAGAAACCGGAGGTGGCGGGAGGTGGGGGGATCCGCAGCTGGAGGGGGCGCGGAGGGCAGCGCCCTCGGCGGGGTGCGGCGCCACCCTGGCTACCGGAGGGCTCACCGAGAGTTCTGCAGAAGGATCGGACTTAGGGTTAGAGTATGGGCCTGGCAGATGGGCAGGACTTGGCGATGATTTGGTACGGAGGAGGGGCGTGACGGGGGCTTAAGTAGGATAAGGGCTGTGGGGACGCGGAGAACGCGAGTGAGCTAGGGGCTGGGAATGACAGAACGCGGCCCGGTCTGTCCCGGTCCCTCAGGCTTCCCCACCTGCCTGCGCACTATCCCGGAGCTGATCGAGTACGTCACCATGGTCATGTACACCTGCTCCGCCAGGCATGCAGCCGTCAACACAGGCCAGGTACCGTGCGCACCGTCCTGCCAAACAGCGGGGCTCCAACCGCAAGCCAGCCCGCCGCCCCGGGCGCAGCCCCCGCTCGTCCAGC